TAATCACTGTAAGTGGAAATACACGCTTAACCTAATTAATTAGCAAATAAATTATTAATGCATGCACTAATTAATTAGATTAATCGTGGGTCAATTAACTCAAAACTCACAGTGATTATTTTTAAGACATGTATCATCACGCATGTAGAATTCTAGAAACGTAACTCATATAGATCGCGAGATATGATAAGTAAATACACTTTACTATCGGCTAGACCCGTACTATATGCCTGTATAAACCTATGGGCATTACCGCGCGTGAATAACAGCTAATTAATTAGGTTAATCGTGGGTCAATTAACTCGAAACTTACGGTGATTATTTCTAAGACATGTATCATTTTGCATGTTGAAGTCTAGAAACGTAACTTATATAGATTGCGAGATATGATAGGTAAATACACTTTTCTACCGGCTAAACCCGTACTATATGCCTGTATAAACCTATGGGCATTACCGCGCGTGAATAACAGCTAATTAATTAGATTAATCGTGGGGGAAATAAACTCGAAACTCACAGTGATTATTTCCAAGACATGTATCATCACGCATGTAGAATTCTAGAAACGTAACTCATATAGATCGCGAGATATGATAGGTAAATACACTTTTCTACCGTTTAAACCCGTACTATATGCCTGTATAAGCCTATGGGCATTACCGCCCGTGCATATTTGCTAAATAATTAGGTTAAGCGTGGGGCAATAAACTCGAAACTCACAGTGATTATTTCTAAAACATGTATCATCACGCATGTAGAATTATAGAAACGTAACTCATATAGATCGCGAGATATGATAGGTAAATACACTTTCCTATCGGCCATATAGCGTGATAGCGTGTGTGCGGGGGGAGGGGGGGGGTTAACAACTGTATACGATGCGCCCCATACAGACAGTAAAGGCAGGCGCGGGCAGGGGGTTCGGAGTCGGGTGCCGCCATATTAACCGGTAGAAAAGTGTATTTGCGCTGGAGGATTTAATAGTGGTCTGTTCTCATGTCATGAAGCGCTGTATATTCAGCAGCCATTATTAAATGAATACTTTACTCTAGAATTTGAGAGTATATTATGATAGTAGATTTATAAATAATAGCGCATACCTATAAATATCTATAATTACGCATTCACGTTTGTCATAAAACAACATTGAATTTGGAAATCTTCATTTTTGAGGTTGATCGCCGGGCAGACATTACTCCCAACCTCGACTCCGTTTCTGACTAACCCTAACCCTAACCCTAACCCTAACGATAACCCTAACCCTAACCCTAACGATAACCCTAACCCTAACCCTAACGATAACCCTAACCCTAACCTTAACCCTAATTAAATTTAATTAACACTAATACATTTAATTTTTTTTTAAACATCACCTCTCGCAGGTTAACGCGAGGCGCGATACCCGAGATTTCATATGGCCGGTGCAGGGAGTAATGTCTCCCTTGTGCAAAAATCTCATTAATTTTTGGGCGCTGACATGACACCCGCGACCGTGCTGCCACCTTGAAAAGGTTGCGCATTTGCCAAAACATTTTGCACGTTACAGACCGAGGGCTAATCACAAAAGTGCAATTATAATTATGTATACCTAAATGTTATTTAACCGAACGATATTCATTTTAGGACAAATTCATTCATATTATAACTGAAACTATATGTCGTTTATAAGATATTGCAATTCTTCTGCTCTTAAATTAATAAATAAGAAACACCCTCGGTCTGTAGGTTCTACACTGGAAAATCATTTTCCATAGGCGGCCATACTTACGAACAAAATCCCATAAATCAGCAGAAGTTTTTTTAGAAATAACAATGCCATCCTCTGAATCCAAGTTGCAAGTGACACCATATACGTTATTAACTAAAAAATTATTCCATAATAATTTTTCTTGTAAACATCATTTTGCCAGCAAACACTCGAAATGACCAATTTACAATGTGAATCTGCACAAAAAAGTAGGCTTTCTTTGAGGCCGCACCAGCAACGCACCTCGGACACGTTTACACTGTCGGATTCAGAAAAGATTCTAGTTTCTGAAATTAACAATTATAGCAGGTTTCAGGGGAGAGATAATGAATATAGAAATAAGTTGTGGATATAGAAATCAGTTAACCCTAACCCTAGCCCTAACCTTAACCCTAATCCTAACCCTAACCCTAACCCTAATTCCTTATCCCTAATTCTAAAATTAAACAAAATTAGCCAAAAATAATTAAAAATAAAATAAATAAAAGACAAAATTAGCCAATCAGAGCCGTCCCCTAGCGGTTCACTATCTCTCCCCTGTGCAAAATTCATTAACAATTGCAAAGAGTTCTAACCCTTTCTAATGAGAAATACAACATTCAAGCGCACGCATACACTCAAATACGATCTCATTCTGACCCTGTCCCAGCACTCATTGGTTGATTTGCCAGCGTGGTACCTGTAGACTCTGCTGTAGCCTGTGCCTGTAGCCGGCAGCCGAAGCGTTGCTTTGCGCTCCTTTTCAGTGGGTGCGCTGCCACTGGCGCCACCGTCGTTATAAGCAACGGTATAGCCGTCAGTTGTAAAACATTTTTTTTTAATATTTTTAATAAATATTGAACCATAAAACATTTTATGAAGCGTAATTTTAACCTAAATCAACTGAAAATAACCCTAGAGCCAAGACTCAAGTATTCCTTAAATAAATAACTGCAAATAATACATTTTAAATATAGAGTTACTAGCTTGCAATGCAAAATAAATGTATCTGCAATAATAAGCCAGTTCGTAGTTAGAGTCTGCGCATGCGCGAACCTTGCCACGAATTCTTCCGAGTCAGGTCATTTGTGACAAAATATTTCGTATTTCGACCGCACAGTACACATACGAATGCATCTGTGTCGTTGTAATGCTACAGTCTTCGCGTGTGCACGTACACGTGCGTGCGTGCGTGTGTGCGTGCGTGCGTACGTGGGTGTGCACGTGCACATGCGTGCGTGCGTGCATGTGCACGTACACGTGCGCGTGTGCGTGTGCACGTACACGTGCGCGCGTGTACGCGTACACGTGTGCGCGTGCGTGTGCACGTACACGTGCGCGCGTGCGTGTGCACGTACACGTGCGCGCGTGCGTGTGCACGTACACGTGCGTGTGTGCGTGTGCACGTACACGTGCGTGTGTGCGTGCTTGTGCACGTATACGTGCGTGCGTGCGTGCGTGCGTGTGCACGTACACAGAATACATGTACATAATATATTTACTGAACCGAGAGCGCACGCCGCACTCGAGATTTCATCGATTTTTGTCACAAATGACCCGGTGACCTGTGACGTCACACAACTCCTTGGCTAACTACAAACTGGCTTATTATAGGGGTTCCTGGCTGACGTGACAGTAAACATGTGAATTAGTCAGCAGACAGCGATCATGCGTAGCGCTGCATCAATCGCAGTAACTTTCGAAAACACTCAGCAAGGGCATGGGCTGATTCATGTTCGATAATATTCTGTGAAACTTAATTCTGTGAAAATTTCTGTGAACTGTTCAAGAGCATATAAACTATGTTATCTTATTTACCTTAAGCAGTTTATGTGCGTCATATGAGTTATATTACAATGTATCAATATAATTACCTTGCATTTTACAGCATTCCTTTCTAAAAACGTTAAAAAATGTTCATTTATAAGTTCAAAATTATAGAAAAAATCGCATCCCACTGGTTTTAGATAGCATGTGGATCATTTCTCGAAATGTGCGTTTGGCATTTCTCTCTTTCTTTCTCTCTCTCTCTCTCTCTCTCTCTCTCTCTCTCTCTCTCTCGCTCTCGCTCTCTCTCTTGCTCTTTCTCTCTCCCTCCTCTTACAATCTGTCCTATAGGGTCTTGTGTGATAACACAAATCAGAACTGTGACAAGAAGGAAGCCACTACAATATGGATCTGGCTGAGATTGTAGTGCATTGAAATTGATTCCTCATGATCAACTATCAACATGAGTGTCAACTAGTGACGTGACCAGTGAAGTGACATCTACGCTATTACTTTGGCGAACACTTTGACAGATTTAACGCAATGGCATGTCGTATCCATGATGAATATAACATGAACTAAAACATGGCAACACACTGTAGGCCTACGCGGATTTTGTATGGAACGAATATAGTGTCGGAATGCTGAATTTGGACTTAATGTAGGCGAACAAGCGCCGTATACGTATATGCATCCTATAATTTTTTTCTGCATTAACTCTTTGAAACGGCTTGTGTCATTTTTTCTGCCATTCTGTAAAGGATGTTTAATGACCGCATCTGGCGAATGAATGGTAGGCCCCCTATGTTCCAAATATTCAGAACAAACATAACAAATCAATACGCAGAGATTAAATGAAACACACCATTGATTTTATTGGCGGAAACCGTAATTCTGTCTTTAATCACGATATTTGAGAAATCACGTGAAAGGCTAGACGATCGCTTAAATATTATTACAATTTTCTAGTTTGTATATAAAAGAATGTGAAGTTGTGGACCATTATAACTGTAAGTTAATTAATGAATGAGGGTCGAACATCACAACAATATTGATATATTATTATAGTATGATGTCAATATGAGATAGCGAGTGATAGATGTGAGTTTCCTCACATAACGACACTAAAATTCACTTGCTAGATAATTAGATGTTTCACTTTTTGAAGTTTGTGATAACACAATTATGTCAACGCAAATGAAGAAAGCTACACAATTTTCATCTTAGGCGTTGCTTTCCGTTTCGTTAATCACCGTATGGTCGTCGACGGCGTTGCCTAGAAACGCGCCATCAGCGGCGTGCCTGCTAGCCGTCACTGCGCCATCTAGCGACGCATCGTTGCTCTCTTTTTGAGACTAGCTTGAGCGTTATTGTCTGCACCCTCACTGCTGTAGCTTTCTGGTACACATATCTTGTCGAAGTCTACGAACATGTCAATCTTCTTCATTATTTTTACCGGGCTGGTATTGTGAGCGACGTTACTCCTTCCGGTAGTTGTCGCCTCACTTCATCCAGTTAACGGGGGCTTGTTAATCGCTGTTGTTCTGGCGACGGGATTTTCGTAACTATTTTCTGCTGTACTGTTTCCACTACCAGATCCATTGTTAACGGTACTGCTATCAGAGTTGCCCTTCTCTGGTCCGGTGTCTCTAGGCCCGGCATTTGGCTCTGCGTCTGCTATTTGTGTTGTATCTGTATCTTCATTAACAGCTATACTATTATCGGTGCTACGGCTGCTGCGCGTGTAATAGTCGCGACCACTTCTCTCTGTCTCTACTATTGATGTTGTCGCTATTGTTGGTATTGTCTCTTCTTCTGGTGTTGTCGCTTCTTCTGGTGTTGTCTCTACTTCTGGTGGTGTCTTAACTTCTCGTGTTGTCTTAACTTCTGGTGTTTTCTCTACTTCTGGTGTTGTCTCTACTTCTGGTGTTGTCTCTACTTCTGGTGTTGTCTCTACATCTGGTGTTGGCTCTACTTCTGGTGTTGTCTTGACTTCTGGTGTTGTCTCTACTTCTGGTGTTGTCTTAACTTCTGGTGTTGGCTCTACTTCTGGTGGTGTCTTAACTATTGGAATTGTCGCTATTGTTGGTGTTGTCTCTATTGTTGGTGTTATCTCTATTGTTGGCGTTGTCTCTGGTGATGATGTTGTATCTAGTGTTAGTGTGATTTTTGCTTTTGCTGTTACTTCTACTGTGGGTGTTGCTTCTACAATTAATGTTGTCTCTACTTCTGATGATGTCTCTACTGTTGATGTTGCATCTAATATTGGTATGGTCTTTGCTGTTGATGTTGTACCTAGTGTTGATGTGTTCTTTGTCATTGCTCCTGTCTCTGCCCTGTCTTTATTGTTGGCGTTGTTTCTACTTCTGGTGTTGTCTCTACTGTCGGTGTTGTATCCAGCTTTTGTGTGGTCTCTGCTACTAGTGTATCCTCTGCTGTTGGTGTGTTACTAGGTTCTTCATTAACTCCGTTATTATTGATGTTCCTGCGTTTAACTTCACTCGTGTGAGGTTTAATTTCATCAGGTACGCCGACAACGTCATTCTTTGTTATCGCTGACCTTTCTGTTTCTTCATTACCTCTCTCTTCAAACACGACCGTGTTGTCTTTATCCACAATGTCTAAAGAAATTGACTTTGCTCCATCAGCGGTCATCTTTATTTCTGTATTTGGACTCGCCACCGTGTCGCTGTGTGTTTTATGCGACACCTTTGCTATAGTACCTAGGGTTCCGTCAAGTATTACCTCCTCACCTGTGTAGAAATAAGCTATATCAGTCACGACTGTATTTAGGTAATTGTGGGCGTGGTTACATACTTTTAATATTGTCTACATTACATTTATTATGTTGTATACTGTAAAGACGTGTGCTATTTGATAATACTATTCATTTAATAATTCCTAACAACTTAAAACAATATTGTATGACATTTATTAACACATCGAACAATAGAGTAACAATCGCAGGCAAGCGACAGCGTTTTGCCAAGCCACTATAAGTCTTACTGCCGAAAAACTTAACACTTACCACGGATGAATGATTACTTAATATACTGCTAATAATACCAACCTGTGGTAAAGACGATCGTAGCTTTTTCGGCAGATACCAGACATGGTAGTCCATATTCCCGTGCTACCACTGCTCCTGTAAACGTACACGAAATTCGACTTGTAGGCAAATGAGTTAAATGTCTCGCTTAATTAAATTTATTGGGCCGTTCATATTAGTGCTTCTCTTATATATTACACAGGTGTGGTAAAATATTAGGAATCGCGTTGTATTGTATGACTCGCCTTAATCCCAACACATGGGAATTCATACGAAATAAATTGCTATTAAAAAAACTGCGCCCACCATGTGAAAGCAGTCCACCTAGTTCCGTGCACAAGCCGGAGATGAGCGGAAAGTAAGGAGACCAACCGATGTCCGTGTACGGTACGATTAATATCTCGCCGTGCTTAGGAACAAAAAATGTCCAAATCATAATACAAATACTAATAGGCCTACTACTCCTAATACTAATACTAATAGGCCTACTACTACTAATACTAATACTACTAATAATAATAACAATAATAATAATATCAGCAATATTATTAATTACAAATCATTAACTATAATTATTAACACAAAAATGGAAACCGTCTCACTCAATATCGACTATGACATATATGTGGTGTTTTTAAACATGATATTTACTCAGTCGCGTGCAATAATGACACGATAGATAAATATGGGTAATTCATATATTAATTCATGAGTGCGACTGGACTATAGAGGGTATACCTGAATGCTGGCAGCATCCTCTAATGATTTCACGACGCGACATTTCGCCCTCACGACGCCGTGGCTTACTGGCATGCCTACGGGATGTAAAATACGGGTTTATATACCGTCACAAGTATAGGCCTACACGTTAAATTTTACAGCATCTGATTTTTGGACGGATTCTAGGGCATTGTAATACAAATATTTAATATTAAGTAAACAGTATACAGATAATGAAAAATAACACAGATAATAAGCAATCACGAGCACGAAGCCACCGTGTAGCATGCATGAATCAAGATTACTAATCAAAATATTAACCTATTACCATAACGTGTTTGGCAAATTTACTTCAAGTTAATTAAGATTAGTGCATCACGTGATAAATCGTTGAAATCTCATTGGATAACGTCGCAGGTACTATGAAGCAATAGTGCCCGCCTGAGCGGGCACTATTGCTTGCGCGACGCATTGTTATTATAACGCATTGTGTTCACGTCACGAATCTCCTGCGTCTGGGCGCCACGCAAGAGTTTCGAATTAATGGCGATTGTGTTTGTGTCGAGCGTTTTGTTACATCGAATGCATCGGCAAATTAGGGAGATATATATATATATATATATATGCGAACCTGAGAGTTTCACTGTGATTAATGCATCCTCTTCATTAAACTCGTCCTCGATCTGTAAACATGTAATTTTGCATGCATGGCCAGCATCATTGAGTGACGTTCTCACAATTTACATCACATTCTTCTATGTTAAGAGTTTATGACCTCCCGTCATAGAAATGATGCAGCTTCCGTTAAACTCATAAAGTAAAAATAAGTACAACCCATGCATGGTTATCTGCAAATTTGTAGGCTACACGTTACATAGGATTTACATAAGATAGCGTCACTACAAATCCTAGCAACCCATATTCCTTCATGTATTTTCTTAATAAGGATGATACAGCAAAAACCCGCGTATAAGAACCTATAGTGATTAAGAACCTGTTAGCCTAAAATTTAAATTTTTAAAACAGGTTCGTAGTTGATAAAATTCAGTTAACACTTGAAAATTCATAAATCAACTAAAACAAAAATGAAATAGGATAACCTAGAATAAGGTTTGTATTTGTCTAGATTACAGTCATTTAGACATTATGCATATTTTAGGCATTATGCATTTATGCATATTTTATATAAACAATGAACCGCACCAATATTCTACCAGCAACAAGCACCATTTTTTCTTAAGAAAATAAGAACCTATTTAAGAACCTAAATAGCCTAATTTCCCAGTAAACACCAATTATATAAGGATCTTTTTAGGCTAACTAATGGTTATTATACGCGGGTTTTTACTGTATTTGATTGCAATATCATGCGAATATACGGAATCCATCACTACGGTGATTGATAATTATAGTCGATTTCATATATTATGCTATTTGATAAGATACATCTTACTGGTTCAGGTAAGCCACCGCTGACCATTGGAAACTGCATAGCCATCAATGTCGGCATCAGCTTTCTCCTACGCATTGCCCTGCAGTAAAAGTAGATATTATTTAACAGCTAAGATGTGCACCTTATGCTCGTTTACATACGTTTCACATGTAAACAATGTCGATTCGGCTAATAATATTGCATTTGCTCTAAGCATATTCAGTATGAAAGAAACAAGATGCAAATCACGTTACTTGTTGATGAGTTTGGCCGACCGAGTCGCGATCAGCTTGCGAATCTCGCTGTGCGTGAAGAAGAAGATCAGCTCTCTGTCAGGTAGACGACCCTAGCAAAATGAACACCCTTTACTCGTCTCAAGCGTTACACATGACGTCGGGAACTATCATCGCGAAAACCTGCGCTGCAAATAACAACTTAGATCCGCACTAATTTTATATCATTAATATTATCGTCGTTTCATCGGTGGCCGGTCACGCTCACATCCTCGAACTCTTATAACTTATAATACTTATTATAATAATTATATAATATAATAATTATTATATATATATATATATATATATATATATATATATATATGGATAGATAACCACTAACTCCAACACCGTCAACACCATCAAAAATCAAATACCAGCTAAACTACAGAGAGCCAACCTAGAAACCAATAAAGGGAAAACAGAATATCACGTTCTATTTAGAATATCACGGTACCTAATCAGAAAAAACGGCCCTGATGATTGGAAAATGTGCAAATATTTTTGATCGAAAATTAACACAGAAAGATCCTAGCTACCGACGTTTTCAACCAACTGAAAAATATTCTCTTATATAGCTACATATCTCTGGAAATTAAACTTGGTATTTTTAAAGCTTTCGTCTCCAGGGTCTTTCTTTATAACAGTGAGCTATGGGTGCTCACGGCACATCTGGAGAACAGAGTCGATGTCATCCAAAGACGTTTCCTGCGGAAGATTCTACATATAAAATTACTGGACAAGGTCAGAAATGAGATACTCTATAAGAAGATCCACACCATCCCATGGAGCGCTACCATTAAAATTAGGAGACTCCGATGGCTGGGCCATGCGATGAAACTGCCACCAACAGCTCCAGCTCAGAAAGCAATGGCTGAGTATTTTCGACCTTTGCGAAGGGATCCCGGACGATCAAAAACAACCTGGTTCGATGTGGTGAAGGAAGATCTTGAGAGACTAAATTTCCCTATTAGTGGTGACGTGTGGAACAACGTACGTCTACTGGCAAATGATCGTGAGCTCTGGAGGCTAGGAGTAGTGGGCGCAATGACTGCTATGGTCGGAAAGCGTTCGCAGTAGTATATATATATATAATATTATACTTATTATAATAACTTAACTCTTAATAATTATAACTCTTATAATAATAACTTTTATTATAGTTTAAAGATCATTTTCTAGTTTGCATCTACCTGGCGCAAATCTTTCTTAGGCTTAAAAACGCGTTGCAAGAGTTAATTATATGACATATTTACTTCCTGTTCGAGCAGCTCAGCCAATCTGCGATAGCCTTGTCTCATGTTGTCCGTGCCTTTGATGGCAGTGCCCTTTGTCGCTTCTCTGTAACTGACAGCTTGTCTAGCCCTCGGCAGTAGGAAGTGAATTATTTTCCTTAAATTGAAAAGCAATGCACTTTTGTAAATGTGAAGTTGGTTGTCATGCCATGGCTGGCGTGACATATGAAACGTTGAACGTGATGCCCTGGAAAGAATTATTTACGAAATAAAATCCGTCGAACCTCTGGATGAAACCAAGCGGTGTTTTTATATTCACAAGTGCTTCTTCTTCGGTCATGTACTTCTTTGTTTCTGTCAGCTGGCTCGGAGATTTTGTCATTTCCTTTAATAGAACGAGTAGAATAAGTGTTAGTAGAACATTAGTACAATACGTTAGACAATTATAATGCACAGTATGTTAACTTTCGCACGCTTGCGCCGACCGCACGCACGCCCGTATACACACGCACACGAATGTTGCTCGTTTTATCTACTAAGGCAAATATAATGTCAATACATTACGTATTGATGCGAAAGTCATATGTCTATACATCATCGATATACCTGTATTGTCTTAACGACTTGTTCTGGCTCCATTCTCCATGGCTTTTCCATAAGTTCAGCCTAAAGAAATCACTATTTTGACGACATCTTAAAATATTGTATAACACATAACGACATATACCAATAATTAAATTTAGTGGATTGATGATTAGTAGATTTCTATTAAAATTAGGCAAACACAAATAAACAGGTATGAGAAGCATGGTCCTACTAATTTCTTATATGTTCGTTTGGTTATCGTTTTACGTTTAAGAAAATAATTATCCTTGTAATAGATTCTGAAATACTACATTCGACTCTTTATATTAATAAATGCACTGGAATGTGTAGTACAATATGAAAGTTAGTCCGACACGAAAATCTATCAGTCAAATAATTCCTTACCTCTCTCACACATCTGTGTCCGTGCGCATTCATAAACTGGTCAAACATCTGCTTGAGTTCGCCACTAGCATCTGATCGGAGCCACTGCACAGCTGTCTCAGGCATCAGTGAGTGGAAGAAGGGGGCTCTCCCGTTGTTAATTACAGCCCGCGCCATGCTGCGGAGAGCGGAAGGAACGTCGGCGCTGAGCACATCCGGGCACGTCGACAGCAGCATGGCGACGTCCGACATTGAGCTGCTGGACACGTCTGGTAAATATGCACCCCACAGTCAGTTGTAGAAAACATGACGTCACTTATCGATAACACGATAACGCGATGTCGTTTGCCGAAAACCGAATTAGATAACATGTCATCCAATGACACCATGATGTCATCTATTGAAGCTATGATGCCAGCTATATCGAGAATAGGGAAAACATGGCATTTATTCATGTTAAATAATACTGGGAAAACTTAGTCAGTTTTATTCTTCGCGTCCTGGTGATCCCGTTATTTGCAGTAGCAATACAGCAAGGTTACGGAATGATGTATATACGATAGAGTGGTCCAACGTTACTCTCTACCGTCGTACTTGAAGCGAGCTTATAATTCGAATAGCCGAATTCGATGATGATAGATCAATCGAGACAAGTTCAATTAACGATAATCGTCATAATATAAGTTCATTAACGTAGTTTTATTGTCAGAGATCTATTCGAACCGTCTATGCGCTTACTGGACGAGTCTCGCTCGAGGACCATTCGCATGATGTTCGACCACATAGCAGACGTACCGGAAGTCCTTATATGGTAGTTCCATGCCTGACATATAAATAGTTTACATAGTGGAGCGGTTAAAAGTGTTTTTAGGCATATCGTTCAGTTGGCGATACAAGCATGAAAATTGTCATGAAAATTGTCACTTGACAAGAAAACGGTCCTAGCCACTTGAAATTTCAAAATGGCGGCCATTTTCCAGGATGACCGCCATCAGAATCTCCAAATTATACTTTTTCTAATAGAAATTGATTAAGGAGGTTTTGGTGTCGTTTCCATGCTGAAGCCAATGGTGTAAAAATAATCCACCTAAAATTCCAACATAACGTCCATTTTCCAAGATAGCCGCCAACCATTGTGCTAATTGCCCAATGCGCCATTGCGCCACGCCCAGCCATTGCGCAATTGCCTAACCGGGATGGCGGTGTTTGCAAAGACACGAAAGCAACAACTCATTGACATACTTCATGAGAATGGCATTAGCATCTCCTACGGCAGAGTGTTGGAGGTTTCTGCATTGCTAAGGGAATCCGTGGTATGTGGTAGATGGGGTTGTACGTGTGCCCACCCATTCTGCAAAAGGGACTTTTCACTACCCCTGTATAAGGTAGTCTATTTCTACCCATGATCGTAATAGTGGTTACGTGTGAGTGTGTGTATTACATCCTCGCTAGCGTCTATTTAAATGCAGATAATAAAGAACATAACAAACTATGATGTACGTATTCAGTTATCTCTTTAATTGTACAGACTTAACTATGCATCCGCCTATATCAGGACGAATGCGTACAGTCGAGGTGCGCGAGTAACATCACCAAACTTACGAGGTTATAGCTGAATGTAGCCGGCTTTGACCAATCTCGTATCTATTGCAATCTCTATCTCTGACTCTCTCTCCGATCTCCTCTCTCTAGTCGAACACGCGGTTATATACTCACATAGGTAGACACGCCTACCTATTGTTTATGGCCAGTTCGTACTACGTTACTGTCTGTAATTGGCTAATTCTACCACTGTCTAGTTTAGCGTTATAACTTTACACAGCTGGCTTATATGCCAAAATAGAACAATAGCTTATTGCTGTATATTTACTTCTCCGTCTTTCGACGGTATTACACCTGCTATGGACAACATTGATTGACCATAATCCCACAGCAACAACGGCAAATACATCCTTTCATAGTACAAGTATTTCCATGTTCCAACATCCAAGCTCCGATAATGAAGGCGAGATAAGGCCATCACTCCAACTTCAAAACAACAGAGGAAAGAAAGTTTCTGAGATTCCTGAATCCTTCTCAACATCCGATCAGCTTTCTTCAATAAGGAAAACCTAGAGCCCCGCCCTGTAGCCAACCTACCTTTGCCAGACCCCATCGTATTCAGCAGAAATTTCACACCCCCGAGTATGAGTGGTTGGAGAAGGTCAGCCTAACCCAAGAAGTAGGCGCTTCTGCTAGCATAACATGGTCAGCCCACCATGCATCCCAAAGAAGGAGCCAAGGTTTTGACGTTAGCATTACATCACTGCTTTCCCTCCTCCGAGACCAGGCCCATTCTGTTGCGACAATAAAGCATGTCATAGATAAAGTTAGGGATACAGTGGCATTCCTAAATCCAGGACAAACACCAATAATAACTGCTAACCAGCCACTATATGCCCTTGCTAAGCAGATCCAATGGCACTGGCCGGAGCATTATGGAGAAGACAAGTTCGTGATCATGTTTGGTGGTCTACATGTTGAAATGTATCGGAACGCTACTCAACAACAGCTGATGGACTAGTGCCCTTGTTGCGGCTGGTGTAGCCTCGCCTGGTACTGCAGATTCGTTTCTGTCATCATCAAGTGTATACAGAACACGCCGTTCACATCAGATTACAGCATGCGGTTTGTACGAGCTCATGAAAGATGTATACAACGCCTACAGGGAAGAGACACCTGACAACAATACTATCAGTTTTGACAGCTGGTGCACGGAACAGAAGAGTATACAATTCAAGTTCTGGTTTCTCATTTATAAAATAGAGCTGACCATTCTCATTTTGATCCGATTATTTCGAGAAGATAACTTCAGACTGTACTGTAAATCACTGTATAAACTAATACCATACTTATTTGCTAACAATGACGTTAACTATGTTCGATGGCTTCCAATCCACTTTCGGGACATGATGTGCATTAAGGAGCAACATCCAGAAGTGGCTAGAAAGTTTCACAAAAAAACTTTGTGGTTCACAAGTCAGACAGATTTCTCTGCAGTCGCAATTAATCAAGCTCATGAACAAAACAATGTTGTCATCAAATGTGATGAGGGAGCAGTCGGCCTGACGGAGGACCCATTAGCACTGAGAAGATGGAAGGTGGCAGGTCCAGTAGAGGTGAGCCGTCTGGTTGCAATCTATGAAGCTGTGTCAGGAGCGTAAGATGTGAAGAAAGGTAATCGTCACCACGAACAAACAGAGGCTGCTCAAAAAACATTTGTTGAGAATGTGAAACGACTCACATTGGTGATGCTGGAAATACGCAACCCTTTCACGGAAGAATCAGACGATCTGCTTGTTTTGGACACAAAGGACATTGCTGACTCCAGTGCAGCTGAGCTGATAGCAGTACATCACCAACGAAGCAAATAGCAGTTCAGGTCATTCATGACAGATCTACAGAGCAGCGACGGTCAGTGCTCTTTCTACAAGCCTATCAAGAAGATATCACAGATTGCTTCAAGCATAAACCAGCTGTCAGCGGAACAAACTCCAAGATAAATGAACTAAAGGATGGCTACCGACTATTTTCTCGACTATTCATCTCCTGCCAGAACAGGCAGTGTGACTTGCAAGAATTCTTTATGCATGAGAACCAATTAGTTCCCGCCTCTCTCAGTGATAGAGGGAAACTCCGCCCGTGTACCAAATCGCAGCTGTTTGATATACTACAAGCCAAAGTGACATTGCCCGAGAAAAAGCCAGAATCAGATGTTCTAATAGTGGATGGATCAGCCATGGTGAATACACTGCCGCCACGTTTACCCAAGACGTTTGACGAATGTGCAAGAAATGACATACTGCCGAGAATAGAGACCTACAGCAATACATACAAGAGGACGGACATTGTGTTCGATGTTTACTGGCAGTCCAGTCTGAAGTCTGAAGCAAGGTCTAAACGGGGAAAAGCAATCAGAAGGAGAGTAGCAACACGAGTATTTGTGACGAGGCCGACACGCGTATTTTCCTACATGCCCGGCACGCAGTAAATGAGGGACACAAATCCATGGTGATCGAATCCAATGACACAGACATTGTAGTTATAGCCACTTCTGTTATGCCCTCTTTGATGCAACTTGGCCTTGAGAAAAGGGGGGTGACTTTCGGCAAAGAGGAGAAGACGATATTGATTCCAATACAAGAGGTGGTTTCGGCCATAGGACCAGAGAAAACACGTGGTATCCTCTTCTACCATGCCTTCAGTGGCTGTGATATTGTCTCAGCTTTCCATGGCAAAGCAAAGAAGTCTGCCTGGAAAACAGACTGTGTGACGAGGTATCGAGCACATTTGCGAAACTCAGCCAATGCCCCTCTGCGGTGGAGGATAGTGACCTGCAAGCTCTGGAGAAATTTGTGGTGCTAATGTATGACAGGTCCAGCGATGTCACAACTGTAAACGAGGCAAGGCTTGATCTATTTGCCAAAAAGCAAAGACCATATATATATGACTCGATACCACCAACTCAAGCAGCACTCAAAGAGCATGCCAAACGTGCTTCTTATGAGGCCGGACACGTGTGGGGACAGGCATTGATGTGACAGCCACAACTGCCTAGCCCATCAGACTGGGGATGGATCAAACAGGACGAGTGGAAAATCTTCTGGACACCTCTTGCACCTATTGCGGAGAATTGTCGGGAGTTGACCAAATGTGGGTGCACCAAGGCATGTTCTGGAAAGTGCAAGTGCTACAGCTATGAGCTCAGTTGCACATGTCTATGCAGTTGCCCCTGCCAGGCCTAGAATGGCACAATGTAACGGATATCAGAAAGGACACTTTACTGCATCACATGCATGAAGGCAGGGGATAGGGATCAGAGGTTTTATTACATTACAAAGATACATATTTCGAAGAAGCCTATACAGATTTTCCTTGTTGACTTAGGGTCAAGCGATTTACCTGACCTCTTTATTAACCGTTTGGACAGCTTGATAAACATTAATTAACCAAATAGCACAGTAAGAGTCTCTACAAACTGCTAAGTATACTCATTTATAGACTTAATAAAATATACAAAAGATGAGAACTTTAACTACCAAGTGGCGTGGTTTATTTTGGAAACTTGAGCGGTTTGGCGGCTATCATGTAAAATGGACGTTATGTTGGAATTTTAGGTGGATTATTTTTACACCATTAGCTTCAGCATGGTCTAAAACATAAGAAACGTCACCAAAACCTCCTTAATCGGAAAACCCAATCAATTTCTATTAGAAAAGGTATAATTTAGAGATTCTGATGGCGGCCATCTTGGAAAATGGCCGCCATTTTGAAATTTTAAGTGGCTAAAACCGTTTTCTTGTCAAGTGACCCATAGAGACTGCTCATGACAATTTGCATGCTTGTATCACCAACTGAACGATTACATCACATTAACTGCTCCACTAACATTCGTATACAATTTATACGTACACCAATGCAATGAGATTACAACCGTGGATATTACTTGTATCTTAAATCACCTCGAAACGTGTGAGCAAGGGCATAACACTACTCTAATTTTAATAGCACCATCGCTCCAACTATTGCTACTTATCTTCTCTAAGCTAAGCTAAAAAAAACAATAAATTCACCTAATAGGAGTCGCATGAAGCGAGAACATGGAATGACACGATAATCCATTTATTACTTACAAGAATTACGCGGTATGGTTTTGCACTTACGACAAATGCAGGGTGAAAGCCCTTCTCAAGTTCATTGAACATCCTGTTCACGTCCGTATGGGTGACGTCTATGCGCATGTTGGACATTTCCATTTTCGCGCGTTCAACAATGTTCTTCGCACGGAGTGGGTCCTGTGAATTAACATGATGCTTAATCGTTACGCAGCGAATTTAAGCTAAACTGTTACATCATGGCTAGCATGGCGAATCATGGATAGCTATGGCTAGCATGGCGAATCATGGATAGCTATGGCTAGCCATGGTTTACATAGTTAAACATATTATTAATATAAAACGGTGCCTCATTATCACGCCGGGAATCAATAAGGCATGGTTTTAGCTCGAGCAATGACGATTAGTTTGAAATTCATAAACTTATATATATTATTATAACTGGAGAAAATCAACGTTGGTTATTTATTATGTAGAAATTTTACGCTGTTACAATTACTTACTCTGTACGCTCGCAATTTACCAAGAATCTTCTTGTAAAATGGTACGTAAGTCATGTGATAGCGCTGTCGAATTATAGGCAAATATTTACGGCCAAATGACCGTCCAAACATCATGGTGTCAGCGAATGCACATGATTTCTCGGTGTCTAATCCAACCGTGTACTCGTTCATGTTATAAAGGCCCTGCAGTGTAATTGAAACAGATCAATTAGACGCACGTTGGAATTCATGTTCATCGTGTTCTATGCATGTTTGTAAGTCTTAATTGTGTTGAGACAAAACGCTCTCTAATTGGCTAAGTCGCTACTGAGAACTGTGTGACCTAAAACGAAAATGACTTATTAATACACAGATAAACCTTCCACTGTTTTATAACTAGTTATAATCAAGTTTCCTAATGGTGAATGTTCACTCGAATTACATGAAAATCGTTTAGAAATATAAGTTGGAATTTCGCGTGTAGTTTTTATTCTGATTAGACCGTTGGATGCTTGGCAAAGTGAATGATTGGGCTTGCTTCTCGCGCTTCTAACACACGGCCAGATCCATGACGATAGACGCTGTACAATACACAGCATGAGGACTTACGTTTAGCATATTGAGCATGAAGTGACCACTGAAGCAGGCACCTACTTGCGTCATCGTGAAGGACGCCTGGCGGTATAGGCAAAAATATTCCTGGTGCATTAACTGAAATATAAATAAAACTTGAAATGGCGGCCATTTTAAATTTAGGCTAATTAGCCAGTTTCCCATGGTCTGATTTTGGCTGATTTTGCATATGAAGTTTAGCAAGGTGTAATCAACAAATTCCAACAATAAAGCCTTCTGTTGCAATTTGTTCCAAGTAGGCCAAACATTTTCATATATTGACTGGACTAATTACCACCTATGATTAAATCAACAGACGCACGATTAGAATAGAGGGATGGGTTTTACATGTACAAGACTTGTCAGAGCTTGTAGAAAGTGGTCCGCTGTGAGGGGGGTCATTGCTTGAGGCATCATTTCTCTGCAAGGACAAAATATTATGACGGTGTGTAACTGATATAGGCACACATATCCTACATATGAAAAGCTAACCTAGTGATTAGTATCCAGAACAACTATTAAATGCCAACAGAAAAAAGTGTGTAAAGATGTGTGTGTGTGTGTGTGTGTGTGTGTGTGTGTGTGTGTGTGTATGTGTGTGTGTGATTGCATTGAATCGTACTGTGTGGATATAACCATACCCAGCATTAGCCGTTGTAAACAAATCTTGGTCGGCGATGACAGGGCCATCTTGCTCATGCATGAGTTCGTAATCGGACTCAATATTGAGGAAGGTGATTGGTCTTGCCTGAAGAAGGTAGATCTGACCATCTTTCACAGCGAATTCTATGTCTCGCGGATCAGAGAACGAATGTTCTACCTAGTGAGAAAAAGTCCAAGATATGATGAAGGTTAAAGACGTTTAACTCGGCTGGGAGGCTACACGTCAATACATCGTCATGCGTAGGTTATGTCATACGTGAGCGTGTCTTTGAGCAAGCGTGTGCTCTGGTTACCAGTCGTTGTGATTTTTTTAACATGCGTGCATATGAACAAATTCGTCACTGTAGGGTTCTTACCAGTATACCAATCCTTCCAAGTTCTATAGCAATTATATCAGTTAGACAGCATTCGTTGCTATATGCCGTCTCAATTTCTTTCACTCCCCCAGCCTCTGCAATATTAAACGTTGATATATATATATATATATATTAACAGCGTTAGTGTGGTAACCTATTGGTGCACATGTATATATGGCAGTCGCATTCGGATCTGTTCCCCATCGTTTGTCCGTCAGAGCTCCCAAGATTAGAACCTAGAGTATACGACCCATATATTTTATTATCTGTAATACACCTACGACTGTCAACGACCATCTGCGTCTTTTTGCTTCCCAGGACCTTGTCCTTAATGCTTAGCTTATCGTAGAAACTTCTCTGCAGGTAGATTGTGTCTGGCTCCGTCACTCCGGACACAACCGCCTGTAGAAGAGAATGTGAAGTATAAGGAAACAATGCTAGACGTCTGTGAAGTATTTTCGTCGTAATGAGATTACTAACAGATTATTAACTTATTTTCGGTTACGATTATAGTAAAATTCATGTACCGTGATGGGTTTGCTAGGACCAACGGGAACAATTTATGACGCCGACAAGGCCGAAGCTACTGTCCCCTAAACAACGGACACGAATAGGAACATGGTATCTACGTACTATGTATCAAACTGGTAAAGTTTATCAAGTTGCGAGAGAAATTAAGAGACTGGGTCTTGCGATCCTAGGGGTCAGTGAATCTAGATGGAACGGGACTGGAAAGATTCAGTTGGTAACTGGAGAAACGGTACTCCACTCTGGCACAACAGGCGATGGCGCACCACACGAGAACGGAGTTGCAATGCTATTGAGCAAGCAAGCCGTAAAGAGTTTAGTGGGAGCCGATATCTGATCGTATAATTACCGCTAGGTTTGAGTCTAGATGTCAAAACCCCACCATCCAAGTCTATGCTCCAACAAACGATGCCGACGAGGATGAGAAATAAGAGTTTTATTATCAACTACACTCCACCTTTAACAATGCGAAAAAAGAGATCTCACCTTGGTTATGGGCGATCTGAACGCCAAGGTAGGTCCAGACAACAGA